CTTTTCCCCCCCTATGGAGTGACTTATCCAAGTCTAAACAGGTTTGCTCCACATACATAATTGTCAATGAAGTAAACAGAATGGTAAAAATATGACTGAAGAATGAACTATACTTATATAAAATAGTATGGTAAACTACTATATTATACTAATACTATACTATACTATTACTATACTTCTGTAATGTGATGTTCTCCATTCATTATAACTGGTATTCTGTTAGGTAAAGCATTATTTTAATGAAATACATTCTTGTATTTTATGTATGTATGAAGACTGATATTATTTATGTGACAGAAGCTATTATTTGAATTAACAAATCTGTTACTCAGAGGCCCATAGAATTCAGTGGATCGTTCTGAAACAAATGAGTTTCCCATTTTGATAAGGCGCCAACCTAATAAGACTTTCATTTTAAGTATCTTTCCAACAGATCTTAAATTTAGATTTCAAAGAATATTATATAAATCTTCATTATGAAAAGATGTTCATGCCATAAAATTAAAAGACAATATTCTCATAATGAGCAGCATCATTCTTCCATTCATCTAGTATTTTTCCTAGCCACTTGCCATTAACTGCTGCCACAATTCTGAAGATAGCAATAAGAGACAGCCCTCCTACCCCCCCACCCCCCCAAGCTGAGGGTAATGCCATTCCATCATGAACTGGCAGGGGGTTGGTACCAAAGCAATTTGGTCAGTAGCCATTCTCTTGGATACAATGCTGATCAATCATGCTTCTGACATGTTTGGGTCTCTAGGGGAACCAGACTTTTTGGGGGAGACAGCAGTAATGGAAAGCATCGAACTCTCAATATAGCAGAGAAATTTCTGCAAGGTATGCCGATGAGGAGTCTGCTGTGTAACAACTATGTCTTGTTTGATGGGAAAAGTGTTTTAGTTTTTAATAAAAGAGATGATATGACAGACATCAATTTCTTGAACACCCCCTTCTCTATCTTGTCTCTTTTCAGTTCCATTTCTTAAATTACCTGAGATACTGTCAGGACTGTTGTTATTGCCCTTAAATCATTTTTATTAATTAGAGAATAACTTCCCCACTTATATCGGTGAGCTGCAAAAAGGATCAAAAATGTTTAATAGATGTGCAGATCACAGTGTCAGTTATTAATTGTGCGGTTCTTATCTCACAATTCCAATGATGTTCAGAAAGAAAATAATGCTCAGCCTAATGGACAACCACCTCAGTCCTGGTTATAGACCAATAAATTCTTACCCCACACCCACATCACTAAAATGGAGTGGCTCATTTTCATGGCTCTGGAAAAACGTTTCAATCAAACTCCTCGGTATCTGTCTCAAGATATGATCAGTTGTTCAAATCAAGTTGAAAAACAAATAAGCTGATGTTTTCATCTGGTTCTTTTATGTCAGTAACTTGTATCCATTTATAAGCAACACAACGATCACTTAATGATTCTAATCTCTTAAATTACAAGATTAATTACAATACCATTAGAACTCAGGAGATATATGACATTAAAGGAGCAACATTTTCCAGACAATATTAATAATTAGCTCAGGAATTTAAGTTTCCTAAATTTGATTCATTCACACAAGTATAGGTATCTCATGGAAACACCATATTCAGAGCTCAGAAAGCAGAGGTTGAATGAATAAATATAGCCTAAGCAACAGACTTTGAGGCATCTTATTCATTAAATTCTGTCCTCTGTATATTTTTTAATCAGAATATTTTCTACCATACCAAAATTATGATAGAAATACCAATTAGCAGAGGTTCTTTTGTTAAATCAATGAAAGGCACAGTAGTCTCATCAAGGTCAGGACTTAGCAATGTTATTATGCAGCTAAACTAAGATAGAAAAACCTACAGTATGTAAATTTTAAGAATGAATTATTTGATCTTAATCTTTGGTATTTATTATATTGTATAAACATTTTAAATGAAAAGCTGTTCTTGGAAAATAATGCAGATTGAGGACATTTTTTTCTGTAAAGTACAGGCTATGTAAATGATCTTTTAATACAAAATAATAGATGAAATAAATAAGTCAGATTTTTTTTT